GAACTTGCCCAAGGGCACACAGGTGGTAAAAGTCAGAGGGAGGAGGCAGCCAGGTTGGCTAGCTTCAAAAACCTGTGCTCTTGCCACACACTACAGGGCTTTAAAAGCAGAGAGGAAAGGACTTGTGGCTGAATGCCGAGCGTTGACTTTCTAAGAGTTTGAGAGTCATTTGCGAGTCAGGGGAAGTGGGACCTGGTGAGGTTTTCTGGATTTTGGTTTCCATTGTGGTTTTGGCTCTAACATTTGGGTCACCTGCCACAGAGATGGAGGCCAACAGGCGGTCGCTCAAGGCTGTGCTGCTGGAAGGACAGGACTTGTTATGCTTTTGATGTAGTCAGAGACTTTCCAAAAGGGATGTTTCTCTCCCAGTTACCTGGTCTAGGCTGCAGGGCCCTCAGGACTGGGTTTCCTGGAATTGAGACAGTGCAGCTGCTCTACTGCTCTGAAAAACAAAATACTTTCAACTTAACATCCTTGGATATCTAACCTCCTGCAAACGCAAATTTAATAGCTGCAAAAATATGGTTATATATATACTCATCTGCATGTAATTTCCCCCCTTTGTTGTTTTTTGATTTGCTCTTTGTTTCTCTCTTTTTTTCCCTCTGTAACTGCTCAGTGGTTCCCGTCCTCCTGTAACTGTTGGGCTCTTTCTTGCCCGCTGCCTAGACAGAGGTGACTTATCCAGACAGGGGAATTGCAGTGGAGAGTGAACAATACACACAGACAGCAGACTGTGCAGGAGACCAGAGTTTTATTATTACTCAAATCAGTCTCCCCAAACATTCGGGGATCATAGTTTTTAAGGATAATTTGGTGGGTGGGGGAAGTTTAGTGAGTTGAGAGTGCTAATTGGTTGGGTCAGAGATGAAATCATAGTAAACAGAAGCTGTCCTCTTGAGCTGACTCAGTTCCTGGTTGGGGGGGCCACAAGATGAGAGGAGCCAGTTTATCTATCTGGGTGGTGCCAGCTGGTCCATCAAGTGCAGGGTCTGCAAAATATGTCAGGCACTGATCTTGGGAGTAGTTTAGAGAGGGTCAGAATCTTGTAGCCTCCATCTTCATGACTCCTAAACTGTAATTTCTAATCTTGTGGCTAATTTGTTAGTCCTACAAAGGCAGTCTAGCCCCCAGGCAAGAAGGGGGTTTGTTTTGGGAGAGGGCTGTTACCATCTTTGTTTTAAACTATAAACTAAGTTCCTCCCAAAGTTAGTTCAGCCTATGCCCAGGAATGAACAAGGACAGTTTGGAGGTTAGAAGCAAGATGGAGTTGGTTAGGTCATATCTCTTTCACTGTCTCAGTTATAATTCTGCAATGGCAATTTCACTCCTTTCACATCATTATCCTGCCCCCAACCTCAGGTAAACCATGTTTACAATTCACTCTGCCATATTTCTTCATGCCATATATGTGTGTGTGTATATATACATATATATATATATATATATATAATAGATACATATATATACACATATAATACATGCATATATATGTACATCCAAACATTTACATATACAGCATTTTGAGGTGATTAACTTATTAAAATGGATGAAGTTATGAACATTTGACTGTCATTTGATTTTCTTACTCGATGCTTTCTGAAGACCTCTTTAAGCCATTTGTTCTGTCTGATTAATTCTTTTAAATGATGGCATAATATTCCATGGTATGGCTATACCCAATTTTATTTAGCTACATCTCTATTAATGGTAATTTCATTTGTTTTCATTTTCCCCCACTATGAAAAATCCTGTAAGAAACACCCTCATACATATATCCTCATGTACTGGCAATTTTATTTTTTTATTATTATACGTTAAGTTCTGGGGTACACGTACAGAACGTGCAGGTTTGTTACATAGGTATACACGTGCCATGGTGGTTTGCTGTACCCATCAACCTGTCATCTACATTACGTATTTCTTCTAATGCTATCCTTCCCCTAGGCCCTCAACCCCTGACAGGCCCTGGTGTGTGATATTCCCCTTCTTGCATCCCTGTGTTATCATTGTTCAACTCCCACTTATGAATAAGAATGTGCAGCATTTGGTTTTCTGTTCTTGTGTTAGTTTGCTGAGAATGATAGCTTCCACCTTCATCCGTGTCCCTGCAAAGGACATGAACTCATCATTTTTTATGGCTTAATAGTATTACATGGTGTCTGTGTGCCACATTTTCTGTATCTAGTCTATCATTGATGGGCCTTGTGGTTGATTCTGAGTCTTTGCTATTGTGAATAGTGTTGCAATAAACATACGTGTGCATGTGTCTTTAGAGTAGAATGATTTATAATCCTTTGGGTAATGGGATTGCTGGGTCAAATGGTATTTCTGGTTCTAGATCCTTGAGGAATTGCCACGCTGTCTTCCACAATGGTTGAACTAATTTACATTCCCACCAACAGTGTAAAAGTGTTCCTATTTCTCCACATCCTCTCTAGCATCTGTTGTTTCCTGACTTTTTAATGATGATCATTCTAACTGGTGTGAGATGGTATCTCATTGTGGTTTTGATTTGCATTTCTCTAATGACCATTGATGAGGAGGTTTTTTTCATATGTTTGTTGGCTGCATAAATGTCTTCTTTTCAGAAGTGTCTGTTCATATCCTTTGCTCACTTTTTGATGAGTTGTTTATTTTTTTCTTGTAAAGTTGTTTAAGTTCTTTGTAGATTCTGGACATTAGCCTTTTGTAAGATGGATAGATTGAAAACATTGTCTCCCATTCTGTAGGTTGCCTGTGCACTCTGATGATAGTTTTTGTTTTGTTTTGTTTTGTGCCGTGCAGGAGCTCTGTAGTTTAATTAGATACCATTTGTCTATTTTGGCTTTTGTTACCATTGGTTTTGGTGTTTTAGTCATGAAGTCTTCGCCCATGCCTATGTCCTGAGAGGTATTGTTTAGGTTTTCTTCTAGGGTTTTTATGGTTTTAGGTCTTATGTTTAAGTCTTCAATCCATCTTAGTTAACTTTTGTATAAGGTGTAAGGAAGGGGTCCAGTTTCAGTTTTCTGCACGTGGCTAGCCAGCTTTTCCAACACCATTTATTAAGTAAGAATCCTTTCCCCGTTGCTAGTTTTTGTCAGGTTTGTCAAATATAGATGGTTGTAGATGTGTGGTATTATTTCTGAGGCCTCTGTTCTGTTCCATTGATCTATCTATTTGTTTTGGTAACAGTACCATGCTGTTTTGGTTACTGTAGCCTTGTAGTATAGTTTGAAGTCAGGTAATGTGATGCCTCTAGCTTTGTTCTTTTTACTTAGGATTGCCTTGGCTATGTAGGCTCTTTTTTGGTTTCATATGAAATTTAAAGTAGTTTTTTTCTAATTCTGTGAAGAAAGTCAGTGGTAGCTTGATGGGGATAGCACTGAATCTATAAATTACTTTGGGCAGTATGGCTATTTTCATGATATTGATTCTTTCTATCCATGAGCATGGAATGTTTTTCCATTTCTTTTTGTCCTCTCTTATTTCTTTGAGCAGTGGTTTGTAGTTCTCCTTGAAGAGGTCCTTCACATCCCTTGTAAGATGTGTTCCTAGGTATTTTATTCTCTTTGTAGCAATTGTGAATGGGAGTTCACTCATGATTTGGCTCTGTTTGTCTATTGTTGGTGTATAGGAATGCTTGTAATTTTTGCACATTGATTTGTATCCTGAGACTTTGCTGAAGTTGCTGATAAGCTTAAGGAGATTTTGGGCTGAGGTAATGGGGTTTTCTAAATATGCAATCATGTCATCTGCAAACAGAGATAATTTGACTTCCTCTTTTTCTATTTGAATACCATTTATTTCTTTCTCTCGCCTGATTGCCCTGGCCAGAACTTCCAATACTATGTTGAATAGGAGTGATGAGAGAGGGCATCGTTGTCTTGTGCCAGTTTTCAAAGAGAATGCTTCCAGTTTTTGCCAATTCAGTATGATATTGACTGTGGGTTTATAATAAATAGCTCTTATTTTGAGATATGCTCCATCATTACCTAGTTTATTGAGAATTTTTGGCATGAAGGGCTGTTGAATTTTGTTGAAGGCCTTTTCTGCTTCTATTGAGATAATCATGTGGTTTTTGTGATGGATTATGTTTATTGATTGATTTGTGTATGTTGAACCAGCCTTGCATCCCAGGGATGAAGCTGACTTGATCACGATGGATAAGCCTTTTTATGTGCTGCTGGATTCTGTTTGCCAGTATTTTATTGAGGATTTTTGAATCAATGTGCATCAGAGATATTGGCAAGCAATTTTCTTTTTTTGTGTCTCTGCCAGGTTTTGGAATCAGGATGAGGCTGGCCTCATAAAATGACTTAAAGAGGATTCCCTCTTTTTCAATTGTTTGGAATAGTTTCAGAAGGAATGGTACCAGCTCCTTTTTTTACCTCTGGTATAATTCGGCTATGAATCTGTCTGATCCTGGACTTTTTTTGGTTGGCGGCTATTACTGCCTCAATTTCAGAACTTGTTATTGGTCTATTCTAGGATTTGACTTCTTCCTGGTTTAGAATTGGGAGGGTATATGTGTCCAGGAATTTATCCATTTCTTCTAGATTTTCTGGTTTATTTGCGTAGAGATGTTTATAGTATTCTCTGATGGTAGTATGTATTTCTGTGGGATCAGTGGTGATATCCCCTTTATCATTTTTTATTGTATCTATGTGATTCTTCTCTCTTTTCTTCTTTATTAGTCTGGCTAGCAGTCTATCTGTTTTTTGATAATTTCACAAAACCAGCTCCTGGATTCATTGATTTTTTTTGCAGGGTTTTTTGTGTCTCTATTTCCCTCAGTTCTGCTCTGATCTTAGTTATTTCTTTGTTTTCTGTTGGCTTTTGAATTTGTTTGCTCTTCCTTCTCTAGTTATTTTAATTGTGATGTTAGGGTGTCGATTGTACATCTTTCTTGTTTTCTCTTGTGGACATTTAGTGCTATAAATTTCCCTCTAGAGACTGCTGTAAATGTGCCCTAGAGATTCTGGTACATTGTGTCTTTGTTCTCATTGGTTTCAGGGAACTTCTTTATTTCTGCCTTAATTTTGTTATTTACCCAGTAGTCATTCAGGAATAGGTTGTTCAGTTTCCATGTAGTTGTGTGGTTTTGAGTGAGTTTCTTAATCCTGAGTTCTAATTTGATTGCACTGTGGAATGAAGACTGTTATGATTTCCATTCTTTTGCATTTGCCTAGGAGTGTTTTAGTTCCAAGTATGTGGCCGATTTTAGAATAACTGTGATGTGGTGCTGAGAAGAATGTATATTCTGTTGATTTGGGGTGGAGAATTCTGTAGGTATCTATTAGGTCCACTTGGTCCAGAGCTGAGTTCAAGCCCTGAATATCCTTGTTAATTTCTGTCTTGTTGATCTGTCTAATATTGACAATGTAGGGTGTTAAAGTCTCCTACTATTTTGTGTGGGAGCCTAAGTCTCTTTGTAGGTCTCTAAGAACTTGGTTTATTGGTGCTCCTGTATTGGGTGCATATATATTTAGAATAGTTAGCTATTCTTGTTGCATTGATCACTTTACCATTATGTAATGCCCTTCTTTGTCTCTTTTCATCTTTGTTGGTTTAAAGTTTGTTTTCTAGGATTGCAACTCCTGCTTTTTTTTTTTTTTTTGCTTCCCATTTGCTTAGTAAATATTCTTTCATTCATTTATTTTGAGCTTATGTGTGTCTTTGCATGTAAGATGGGTCTCCTGAATGCAGCACACCAATTGGTCTTGACTCTTTATCCAATGTGCTAGTCTGTGACTTTTAATTGGGGCATTTAGCTTGTTTACATTTAAGGTTAATATTGTTGTGTGAATTTGATCCTGTCATTATGAAGCTAGCTGGATATTTTGCCTATTTGTTGATGTGGTTTCTTTATAGTGTTGATGGTCTTTACAATTTGGTATGTTTTTGCAGTGGCTGGTAACAGTTGTTCCTTTCCATGTTTTGTGTTTCCTTCAGGAACTCTTGTAAAGCAGGCCTGGTGTTGAAAAAATCTCTCAGCATTTGCTTGTCCATAAAGGATTTTATTTCTCCTTCACTTATGAAGCTTAGTTTGGCTGGATATGAAATTCTGAGTTGAAAATTCTTGTCTTTAAGAATGTTGAATATTGGCCTCCACTCTCTCTTCTGGCTTGTAGGGTTTCTGTAGAGAGATCTGCTGTTAGTCTGATGGGCTTCCCTTTGCGGGCAACCTGACCTTTCTCTCTGGCTGCCCTTAACATTTTTTTCCTCCATTTTAACTTTGGCAAATCTGACAGTTATATGTTTTGGGGTGGCTCTTTTCAAGGAGTATCTTTGAGGTGTTCTCGTATTTCCTGAATTTGAATGTTGACCTGTCTTGCTAGATTGGGGAAGTTCTCCTGGATAATATCCTGAAGTATGTTTTTTGACTTGGTTCCATTCTCCCTGTCACTTTCAGGTACATCAATCAAACATAGATTTGGCCTTTTCACATAGTCCCATATTTCTTGGAGGCTTTGTTCATTCCTTTTCATTCTTTTTTCTCTAATGTTGTCTTCTCGCTTTATTTCATTAAGTTGATCTTCAATCTCTGAAATCCTTTCTTCTGCTTGATTGATTTGGCTATTGATACTTGTGTATGCTTCATGAAGTTCTTGTTCTGTGTTTTTCCAGCTCCTTCATGTCATTTATGTTCTTCTCTAAACTGGTTATTCTAGTTAGTAATTCTGCTAACCATTTTTCAAGGTTCTTAGTTTCCTTGCATTGGACTAGAACATGTTCCTTTAGCTCAGAGGAGTTTGTTATTACCCACCTTCTGAAGTCTACTTCTGTCAATTCATCAAACTCATCCTCCATCCAGTTTTGTTACCTTGCTGGTGAGGAGTTGTGATCCTTTGGTGAAGAAGAGTCATTCTTGTTTTTGGAATTTCAGCTTTTTTGCACTGGTTTCTCCCTATCTTTGTAGGTTTATCTACCTTTGGTCTTTGATATTGGTGGCCTTTGGATGGGGTCTCTGAGTGGACATCCATTTTCTTGATGTTGATGCTATTCTTTTGTGTTTGTTAGTTTTCCTTCTAACAGTCAGGCCCCTCTGCTGCAGGTCTGCTGGAGTCTGCTGGAGGTCCACTCCAGTCGCTGTTTGCTTGGGTATCACCAGCAGAGGCTGCAGACCAGCAAAGATTGCTGCCTGTTCCTTCCTCTGGAAGCTTTCTTCCAGAGGGACGCCTACCAGGTGCCAACCAGAGGTCTCCTGTATGAGGTGTCTGTCAGCCCCTACTGGGAGCTGTCTCTCAATCAGGAGACAGGGGGATTAGGGACCCACTTGAGGAGGCAGTCTGACCCTTAGCAGAGCTCAAATGCTGTGCTGGAAGTTCTGCTGCTCTCTTCAGAGCCACCAGGCAGGGATGTTTGAGTCTGGTGAAGCTGTACCCACAGCCGCCCCTTTCCCCAGGTTCTGTGTCCCAGGGAGATGGGGGTTTTATCTATAAGCCCCTGACTGGAGCTGCTGCCTTTTTTTTTTTTTTTTTTTTTTCAGAGAGCAATTTTAGTTTTATAAGATGGATTCCCAAAAGTGGGATTGTTAGGCCAAAGGGTATATATATGTTTTTGTTTTTGGTTTTTTTTGAGATGGAGTTGTGCTCTGTCACCCAGGAGTGCAGTGGTATGATCTTGGCTCACTGCAGCCTCTGCCTCCTGGATTCAGGCAATTCTCCTGCTTCAGCCTCCTAAGTAGCTGGGATTACAAATGTCCAGCACTACACCCCACTAATTTTTGTATTTTTAGTAGCAATAGGGTTTCACCATGTTGGCCAGGCTGGTCTCAAACTCCTCACCTCAGGTGATTCACCTGCTTCAGCCTCCCAAATTCCTGGGATTACAGGCGTGAACCACCACACCTGGCCATACAGTTTTAATTTTAGTGATAACCCCAGTTGGTTGTCTAAAATGATTCTGATATGTCACATTTCCACTCTAACAGAGAAAAATACCACATATTTCTCTACATCCACACCAGCAAGAGGAATTTTATTTTTCTTTTCTCATTAGAAGGGCATATAGTGATGTTTTGTAACTGTGTAAAATTTATTTCTGTGGTGTGAGTGAATTTGAGCATGTTTGCTAGCTTTTTGGGTTTGCTTCTATGTGGGTTTTTAAATAATTTGATTTGTCCACTTTTCTTTTTGATGATTGTCTTTTTTTGTCACACTTGTAAAAGCTGTTTGTGTGTTTTAAGAACTAACTTTATATCATCTGCATTAGAAATCTTTTCCTTTGGGCAACTACATTACTCTAGAGTTGACCCTTGAATAATATGGGTTTGAACTGCATGGGTCCACTTATATCCAGATTTTTTTCAATGAAAATTAGATTGAAAATACAGTATTTATGGGATACAAAAATTCCATATACAAAGGGCTGACTTTTCATATATGCCAGTTCTACAGGACTAACTATTGTAATAAGAGGGAGTCCTGAAACCAATCCCCAGTGTATACTAAGGGACAATTGTAGTTCGTTTATGGGATTTTTACCGTACAAAAGTTCTTATTTTCTTTGTAATGTTCAATGGTCAAAATACGCCCATTTTTTTTCTTTTCTTTTCTTTCCTTTTCTTTTTTTCTTTTTTTTGGTCTAAATAGCTTCTAAGTTCTCAGTTTTCGTTATGAAGGCCTTCTCTGCTATTTCATATATATCATGTCTTACTCTGCTTGGTGTGCCATTACAGAACACTGTAGAATGGGTGGTTTAAACATCAGAAATTTGTTTCTCACCATTCTGGAGGCTGGGATGTCCAAGATCAAGGTGCTGGCAAACTCAGTTTCTGCTGAGAGCTCTCTTCTGGGTTTGCAGATGGCCACACAGCAGAGAGAAAGGAAGAGAAAGAGAAAGAGGGAGAAAGTGAATGAGGGAGTGAGAGAGCTCATGAGTGCTCTGGTGTCTCTTCTTATAAAGACATTAATCTCATCATGAAGGCCTCACCCTCATGGCCTCATTTGACCTGAATTACCTCCCCAAAGCCTCATCTCCTGCTACCATTATACTGGGGGTTGGTGCTTTAACATATGAATTTGGAGGTGGTACACAAACATTTGGCTGATAACATATTGTCTACTAGATTCTCTTTGTGAGGTTTTTTTTTTTTTTTTTTTTTTTTTTTTTGCATTTCTGTAGTACAGGAATGAGCTCTACTTAAGGTAACAAACACTCCAAAGCCTCAGTGGCCAGCACAAGAGAGGCTTAGTTTTCAATCAGTCTTATCAGGTGTGGGACAGTCAAGCCCGAGCAATGAGTTGGGGACTCAAATCCTTTCCATTTGTGATGGATCTTCAACATGTGACTCCCATAGTCACTGCAGAAGAGGAAGATGGAGTGAGAGAGAGGACACCTACTCAAAGGACCTTTTGTGTTCTCTGTTACTTCCTCCTATATTCCACTGCATGGAACCCAGCCCCATGGTCTCAACCAAACTGGAAGAGAGGCTGGGAAATGTCTTTCTCAGTGCTCAGAAAGGGGAAAAGGATTAATCAGCAGCTAGCCAGCCTCTACCATATTTATTTTTAATGTTCAACCTTTTAATTCAAGTGGGGTTATATGTGTTCATTTTTATTTTCTTCTAGATAGTTGCAGCAGCAGCAGCAGCGCCATATATTAGCTTATTCTTTATATGCTGAATTGAACTACTGCTTTAAACTTTTATTATTTTTAAAATATTTCACATGAGCTTTTAGTTGATGAATCTGCTCAGGAAAAATCCACACGATGCCTGCCGATGATGTCACGGTGGCATCTTTACTGCTTTGGCTTTTTGCCAGCACCAATATTGGCCTTTGCGGTATCCCTGACTTTCTTCATTCTGTTCTTGTGCTTCTTTCACTGCTTTCGTGAGGTCTTTTTCTTGTCATACAGACCATGCCTTGCAAGTCTATGTTTGTACCCAGGCTGGCATGCGGAAGCTATTCACAGGTGTGATCATAGTTCTCTCCAGGTTTGATCTCCTGAGCTCAAGCCATCCTCCCACCTTGAATTCTTGATTATCTGGGACTACAGGTGTGTGTCATGCTTTTGACTTCTAGTGTGTTCTTAACCTACTGGATTTGCATTTTAAAAATCTTTCTAGCCTCTGTGGAATTTTCTTTCTTTCCTGCTGGCTCATAAACATCTTTTAAAAATCCAACATTTTTAATTGTGCTGTATGGGAGGTCTTTTGCTGAGCATCTTGTCAGCGACATGATTGGAAAATCTAAGCTCCCATCATGCAGCATAATGGCTGCTTATTTTTATGTGGCCAACTTTGTTCAGTTTCTCTCAGTGCAGCATCCTCTGCTAGACACTGTGGGACACAAAGATAAATAAACGTTGGTCTTGTCTCTCAGGGAAGCTTATGCTCTA